ACGCTGTCAAAGGCTTTCTCAAGTCGATATAGTTGAGGTAGAGGGTTGACTGGCATTCTATCCTCTGTTCTATGATGATGCGTAGTGTAGCGTTGCAATTCGACCCGCACATGATTTGATTTTCCTGAATCCAGCCAGCCTGTTGCGGTCGTAATTTTGAATCGAGCACATCCTTTAGTCTCTCCAGGATGATGTGGCATTAGATTTTGCTTCGAGTGGACAGCAGCAGATTCCACGCCAGTTCTTGCAAAGACTTAGGTCTCCCTTCCTTAGGAGTCCGCTGACAATGTAGCCCCTCTTCCAATCAATAGGCAGGTACCTTTCCTTCCTTCCAAACCTTCTACAATAATGGTGTGGGGGTGTCTGCTGTTTTCTCTGCTTCTGTTTTCAGTGCTTCTGTAGGAATTCCGTCTCGTCCTGCTGCTTTCACGGATTTCAGCAGCTTTATGGCATTCAGGAATTCACCTTTTGTCGGAGGGCTCGTTTTAACTGGTAATTCTGTGGCTAGGCTGCTGGTGGTTTTTCCGGACGAGTTGCAGGTGGTGGTGGTGGTGGTCGATTCAAGAGCTTCTTGAAGTGGTCGACCTATCGTTCCCTTTGTTTCTTCTCTTTGCTAACTAGCCTTCCTTCACTATCTCTGATTGTTCTCATCCGTGTTGATCTCTTCCCAGATAGTAACCTGGTTATGTGATACAATAGTGTCAGGTCCCTCTCTCTCCTACCTACAGCCTATTCTGCTTCACTTGCCAATGTGTCGTAGAAGTGTCTTTTGTCTTTGCGCGCACTCTTCTTCACTTCTCTGTCCAGTGTTTTATACGTTACACCCAGTTTCGCTTTTCGTTGTGCATCCCTGCACTGCACTGGTTCATCTTCTGCTTCACCATCTTCCTCTCCCTCCTCTATCAGCTTCCATGTGTCTGTCGAGATCCATTCCTTGCCTTGTTCCTCCTTCCTTCCTAACACGGTTATGCAGGTTTCTTTCCACATAGCCTTCAAAGAGTTCCAGTGTTCTTCCACTCAGGTTTCTTCAGGAATGTTGGTCAATATCTCCCATTTTGTCCTGGTGGCTGACTGACGTGAAGATGTTCTTTGAAGTTTCGTCCTTCAGTTCAGTTTCTGTTCTGGGTGTAGGACTTGAACTGTGGTCTATCACCAACTTCTGTGGAGATCTTCAACTTGATTTTGAAGGTAGGTTCCTTGCACTAGACAGTGAGTGCTGTGAACCTACATCTGCTTCCCTTCTTGATCTTGCGTCCTGTAGGTTGCGTCTCCACTTTCTTCAGATTTACATGAAGTCGATCTGATTTTTAGTGTGTCCTGGTGTATGGTGAAATCTATGTCGCATTGTGGATATCTTTGTGTTTGAACACACTACCTCCAATCACCAAATTGTTGAATGCACAGAAGTCTGCAAACAGGTCTCCATTCTCATTCATCATTTCACCGAGCGCTACTCGGTCCATGGTTAGTTCTCTTCCTGTGTTTTCCGCTCCTAGTTTGGCATTCATGTCACCCCAGCTATTAGAACTTTGACGTCGCCAACTGGAGTGGAGTCTTTTCCAGTAGTGATTGCAGTTGTCTGTAGAATTCCTCCTTCTTCTCTTCATCTGCTTAATTATTTGTAGGTGCTTAGCGTAGCATTGTGTGATTGTGACTTTCCTTCCTCTCTAGTTGAACCTTGCTGTCATGATCCTGATCGTGGAGTACATTGATTCCGACTGCATGAAAGCGAGCCTTCCATGCCCTTCAAGAGGACACCATGATAGCCACTCCAAAACTCAGTGTGCTCGTGGTTGTCGTCTGGGTGATAATATCGGAGTAGATTATTGACTCTGCAGTTGACAGTTTGGAGAGTCCACTTCCATTCCATCTACAGATTGCTCGCAGATTCCCAGCCTAGCACTTCAATGATATACCTTTTCATCTCTTTGGCAATCTGAGCAGCCTTTCCAGCCGGCTTCAAACATTGTCCGAACATTCCATGTCCCCATGTTTACTTTTGCTTTCATCGAGAGAAGATACATCGGCCAATTGGCTTCCCGAGGGCTTTCACCAACCGGCGTCATTTCGCCTCTCCGATTCCAGAGAGGAGTAGGTTTAATTTTGTTTCTTATATTTACCTTACGCTTTGAAGTTTCTTTAGCGATTGGATTTTTTTTCCTGGGTAGGGTTGCTAGCCCTACGCCCAGCCTTCCCTCTTTATCCGGGCTTTGGACGGGCTAGTAACTAGTGAACTAGTTGACCAGGCGATGTGTATTCTTCAAAGACATACTACTGGTATTCCTGATTGGTGTCTACATTGTGGTAGCATGTAGAATTCGATCATATTCTGACAGGTGCAAGTTCTCTTAAGATATTCTGAGTGAGCATTCTTGTTTGCTCAAACTGATATCAGTGTATTGCAAAACTTCCTTATCAACGCTACGGTAACTTTACACACATGGTGATGGTTCAAGATGAAAGAGAATTTTAGACCGCAGCCGGATTGGAACCGGTGGGGTTTTCATATATTAAGTGAAGTGAAATCTATCGTGGAATATTCCGGAAATACACTTTCTGTTAAGTCTCCGAAATCTTTCTAGGGTATCAAATTTACTTCAAATAAAGAACATGTGCGCATATTAACCGTAAACGTTGTTAGTGCTCACTAGAGAGGAAATATGATCAAGTAATTTAGGTAGGTTAATAATTCAGGCGGTACTCAGGACTAGACAACCTGAAATTGCTTACTTTATAGTGGCCGATTAGCATATTTAATCTGGTCGAAGAGGAATTCACTCGCTCGTCGAACAGCTCAGTGGTAAAGTCCATGACTGCAGCACTGGGTGACGGGAGTCCAAATTTTTTAGGGGGTATGAGTTCCCTTGAAGTTGGAGATGTGCTTTCCTGACGTGTTCCAATAAGCGCGGGACCTAAATAAAATGGAGATTCCTGTTGATTGCCTTCGACCAAGTAACAGGGATTCAATATCTTAAATTACGGTCGGGACACCAGTATTGGTGTCTATTAATGCTAAGTCGTAGTCTAGTATGCGCTGCTAATTTCTGATTTCTTCAATTTCTTATCAACTTTAACACCTAAAGAAACATCCGGAGTTGGTGAAGACCTTAAGATGACTACATACACTTTCTTGCAAGTTTTTATTACTGACAATCTTTCTGGCTGTAAAATGTGACCAACGGTTCACGGTCAGGGAGAGAATCTCCCAAGGACTGCAGAAGTCTCTGGTTTTACCATTTATGATTTATAAATTATCTGGAGTCACGATGTTTTTCATTTATGCATGTACTAAAACAATACGTAGGGAGAAAAGTTTTTAGTGCTGTTCTTTCTTCGAATGACAAATCTCAGAGTTGTTTTGAAGACTGTTCTAACAATTATGACCTTTTTTCTCTTCTACTGTTTTTGATGTCTGTTCACAAAATGAATTTTGAAGATTATGATGTCACGTGATGCATGTTCCATTGAAGTTGATCGTATACGAGCTGACCTAGCGAGAATGCGTAAAGCAAACTCAAAACACCACACCCATCTGTATCAATACGAGTCAAGTACAGATCAAAATGTAAGTTTCTGTCTGTATTATTTAGTTGGTGTTTTCGAAAAGTTTCATGCCTTCTTTCTTTCTTTTTATCACAGTGAGCTTGGGTCATAGAAGTTGTAACGGGTAAATAAATTAGTTGTATCTAGGAGGAGACTGTAATAATTGAATCAAAAGTAAATCATTCAAGTTATCTATTATAGATTTTTTTGGTTGACTATTTCTGCTAGAGTGAGTCTTTCAGTTTAGTGGGGATTTCAATCCGAGGTTGGTATTTCAAAGTAACAGTTTCTGTGTCATGGATTAGATGCTTTAAGAATAGTTTCGAGAGTTTCCATGGTAAGTGAGGTTACAACACCACTTTGATCGTCTAATATTTGCTCAACTATCGGGTAAATCATGAGCAAGTCATTTTTCATTGTACTAAGTGTTCGGATAGCTGTCTCTCCTTGTCATGAAATGACAAGTATAAATTAAGTACGGAGTGGGATTAATTGGTTATACACCATGCCATCTTAAATATCAGTGTGATTATCTGAGGTGGCCATGGTTTGAGAAATTTTTATTATTGATACTCTGGGTGATGATTGAAAATGAAATGGAAATCCTGGCCGGGCGGAATTCACACAAGTGACTTTCGGGTTATCGACGTGGCGCTCTACCTTCATCTCCAGTCGTTACCCAATATCTTAAATATGGCCTGGCAAGTTCCTGTATATGCTAGTGTATTTGAAGGCAGACATGGATTTACTTGGTTGTGGCTAGCAGAGAAATCCGTGACGCTCGTTTTATCCTATTTGGGACTCGTCAGCCGCGTGTACCTGCACCCAGTGAGTCATGTTGTTCCCACTGAGACTAGAACCTCGTACCCCTCGCTTCAAACGCCAAGGCGTTTTCCACTATACCACGGAGGTAAAATAGCCGCCTCTTGTACAACGGGTATTATTTATTACTGTCTGTCGACATACTTGTAATTCTCCCTAGTTTTACTCGATCGAATTGTTTGACCTCTATGGGCTCCAAAGCTGATGCCTCGATATTGCCTGAACATTTATTATGGTAATTTATTTGGTTGTGGCACGTTTCATCCTATGGGGTACGGGTACTTCCGGCTCATCCTGGATTCCTCTGCTAGCCACAACTATGTAAATTACCATAATAAATGTTCAAAAAATATCGAGGCATTTGCATAGGCGCCCATATGGCCAACAGAGGTCGGTCAATTCGATCCAGTAAAGCAACGGAGAATTACAAGTATATCAACAAAATAGTTAAGGCGCATTTCTTTCTTTGTTTACCTAACAGATGTTGTTAAACTGACATTCAGTTAGTGATAACGTTTCATAATACAATTTTAAAGTGACTAGGGTCCTGGTTATTCCACTCTGAATGTAGGATAGTTATCTATATGCAAATTCATCTTTCTCGAGTTTTTAATGATTCTTTTTTGTCTTCTTCTGATTATTGTAGTCAGTGCAATTTACTGAGATCCAAGACTCATTGAGGTCATAGTAACGGGGATGTGACTTTTTCGTTGATATTTTAACCACAGAAATTTGTTCTATTTCTTTGTAGCCTTCTTTACTCATACAGCAGACTAAACTGCAGTGATTAGTTAACTTTAGATTGGTGACCTTTTTTAAACTTGTTTTCAGTTAGCCTAACCTGGTTGACTACTTCCCTTCAGTAGGACAACGGTACCTGTAATAGTAATAATAATAATAATAATAATAATAATAATAATAACAATATGACGTGTGTATCTCCCCTTTTCTCTTACCATTTATTATGTTCTCTTATCAGGTCAGTGAATGGTCAAGCTTATATGTCTTGGTTCAATGATATCTTCTTATACCATGTACACACCCTAATGTTTCTGGTATATTCCCCTTCGTCTAAATTTCTCATTTATTACTATCACCTATCTTATTTAAAACTCTCCATTACTGTAAGGATGGATACTGAATCACTAATATTATTGTACTCATTCTTCCAATGATAACAATCCTTCTTTATATGTATATAAGCATACGGAAACACTCACAGTTCAGCAGTTTGATTCCTGATATTAGGAAAAGGAAAGTACAAGCAGTTCACCTTATCAGTAGCTACTGGTCAATAGAGTAACCATTTTCTTCTTCACTCTGTGTTTCAATTATATTTTCGGCTGTAAACAGTAACAGCATCATTTATCGCCACAAGAATATAACTCGTAAAGCAACAGAAACTACAGTTACAACAACTATAATTCTGCTATTACTCAATGCTCAAATGAGTGTCCTTCCTTTTTGGATGTATGTATGTATGCACGTGTATGTGTGTAGATGTTATTCTGTCTTTTTGAAATAAATGAACAATGCATGTTGTGAATATATGCCTTTGCAAATAGGAGAGCACTAATAATACCTTACACCTCTTATTGCATTTCTGCATATTCTTAGGTTTAGAGACACGGGTGCACACTAAGATTGATCGATTAAACTGTTCACATATAAGTGCATATATATATATATATATATATATATATATATATATATATATATATATATATATATATATATATACAGACTTACACACGTAAACTTTGATTTGTTCTTGTAATCTAATTGCACGTGTTTCTGATTGCATCATCGTGATTCGTTGCATTATTCATTTGCACTACTTGACTTACCTTGTTTGTTTATATTCAGATGAATCTATTGAACTTTGACTAAAGGAATAATTTCGACTTAGTTTATGATTATCAGAGAAAACAAAAGAAGGAAATTAATAAGTACACAAAGTACACCATCATACATAAGGTATTATTTATGATCAGATCAAGTTGAAATAACTAAATAACAAATGTTTATTTTGGAATTATTATTATTATCGTTACTTCTCAGTCATCTTTTCTAATCTGTTGATATAATCTGATTCAGTCAAATTGATTTGTAAGTAATGCGTAATGAATGCATTCTTTTACCGCGTACTTAAGGTGTTGTAAACCCCCCTAACGACTAATTTATATTCATTATCATTTTAACTATTTGAATGCGATAGACGTGGTTTAGCAGACTAGTTAGTAATTGATACTGCATGATGATTGAGGGTGGAGTGAAAATTTGAACTTCGACGTGATTCGAACTAACGACCACTGGGCCGGAAACCTGATGAGTTAATGGTGGGTATCATGGACTACGCTTCTTTCAGTTTGGAGCTCATCAACTGGATGTTTTAACAATCTCGTCGTCCACATAGTAATCTATTAGTTACTACTCATCGAAATATGCAACTCTGTAACTATATGCTTAGTGTTCAGTCGCTCATGTAGTCCAATGAATGTAGGATGGGTTTAAATGTAGTACCTAACGTTTTGGTAGTTAGTTGTACAGCCACACGAGGTTATTAATTCCACTATCATGCAACTACACTTTGGTCAACTTTATACAGGGGATTAACATCTCACGAATTCATCTGGAGAAATATTTTGCTGAATACTTACAATCTTGTAAAAAGCTCAATTAATGCTTTTAGGTCTCAAAAGCCTAATTCGTTGTGGTCATTCAGTGTAAGGTTATCAGAGAATCTCAACAGTAAATATATAGGGCATTGCATTGTCTAAATGGGAGGTGGGTGGGATGTGCGGAGAACAAGTTTTAATGGGTGTTCAATGTTTGAATCACTCCTTTAAGGGATCGTTTGCTCTGTAGATATGATTAGAAAATTACACATTGTATTGCGTTGTCCAAATTAGTCTGCTGATATTCACAATAATATTATACCCGCTCATTTTACTTGTCTCATGTGAATATCCTTATTTGCTGTTATTAGTACTTAGTGTTTAGGTTTTATCAAGTACTGATGCATAGGGAAGTATTTCAAATAGTTTCTTTCGGGGACCTGAGTTTCGTAGGATTTTATCATCGTCACCATATTGTTGATTCTTCATATCAACCTTTAAGTGTATTGACATTGGACTGTAATGATCAGCCAGTGTATAGTTTGTGTTGAAAATCATCTAAAATCTGTACAACCGCTGATGCAATTGGAACCTCCTTTTGCACTATTGTACTCCAATGTAGTCATTCAAGTAAGTATCAGTGGCTAAGTCATGTTAATTAGTATAGTAAACTGCTGAGTTTCTGTGTGCTTGACAGTAAACTATATAATTATCTAATTTGGCTCAGAATATCACTTTCTATTGTGATTTGTCTTATGAAGTAAAAATACTCCTATATTGTCTGTTTGTGTGACTTTATATTAATCATGTTGACTAGCATAGGAATCCAGGACGCGTGTTTCGTCCTATTTGGGACCTGTCAGCTGGATGTACGTGGACCTCAATGAGTGATGTTGTTCCGACTGAGACTTGAACCCAGTATGCATCGCTTCAGACGGCAAAGTATTATCCACTAGGCTACTGAAGCACGATAGCTACCTATTGTACAACGGGTATCAGTTGTTGTTATGATACTTGTGATTTCCTTTTATTATACAGGATCGAATTGCTCGACCTCTGTTGCGTGACTGTTTGGCAACAGTGTTTCTAAAAGTTATTTTAGTCATGATGGACTTTCATGATATAAATACCCCTTAAGGTGTTTCGTTTAGAATGTATGTACTTATTCATAAGTTTTCTTCATTTTTTAAGTGTAACTTAAAACTATTTATATTTGTGTTCTGAAGTTCTTTTGATGGCGTTGTATTCTTTGAGCTTGATCATTTAGTCATGAAGCTTTCATTGTCACTCTAGACAACACCATCAAAATTGTCCTCATGAGCTATGAATATTCTCCATCATCTCAGAGTTTAGTAAACCTGCAAAACAACAGTTTTTTTAAATTTTGATGGAGGTGTAGAGATTTGGAATTATTTCAAGTTGTTATTCATCGTTGTTCATCGTTCATCGTTATTCATCACTGCTGAGGAGTCCCATACTAGGACGAAACAGCTGTTCAGTGCTCCCAGGTTTCCTTTGTTCCTCCAACTGATGTCAGTCTACGATGACTAACAACTTGAAACAGTTTTTTTGCCATTGCTTTGGCTGATATAATCACTTTGCTCTCCTGCACGTAGAACTTTAAAATATTCAGATAAAACTGTATGTCTAGATCCTGCCAGTTTGAAGCTATGAAGAAGAAGGATACAGAAATAATATGGGATACATATGTTTTTTAAAACAGTGTGAAATAGTTTTACCTAAGGATATGACAACATCGGTTCTTACTAACTACTCACTAATATTCACTATAGCGTCTTAGAAAATGATGATTAACATCACGATATCTTTCAGACGATTATTCTGCCGAAATCCATGACCCTGTTGCACCTGAGTAACATGAATAAAGAGACCTTAACATGCAATTCAGTATATCTTTGTAAAGTCTGTGACTTTTTTAGAGAAAAGTGATGATATTTCATCTTTCTCACAGTTCTATGCTGATCGTGTTCCCCAATGCGAAATCACGTTGACTCCGTGAAAACTAGATATTCACCGGCTGGAGATGATAATGATGATTATACGTTTACAGAAGTTCAACCTACAGCTTACAAAACACAATCACGTACAACTTATTATCGGCAAAATGTGGAAGGTAATCACGAGAAGAATTTCAGTCCAAGTTGTACACAATCTAAACCTCAAACACGTAGATTACTCCCATATGCTAAATCCTTTGATGAGAATGATTATAGTGAATTGGATGCAAATGACAATCAGATTGATAATAGTAATGGTGATAATGATCATGGTGAAGTTGAAGATGTTTTTAATAAAAATCAAATGAATTACTCATATTATTGTCGTGATTATAGACAGGAGAATGAAACGGTCGGTACTGTGGATTATTGTTCAAATCCAGTAAGTGGTTCAAATTGGACTAACGATCAGAAATTTCTTGGTTTACGTAAGTTGATATGTATGTACTGGTATTTTTGTGTAATTCAATCTCTCTTATGAAGTATATACATGTACAGTTAACAGACAGATAAGGCTTACGGATAAATACAAGGGTTAAAAAAAAACTACATGCTATCAGAAATTGCGAAATATTTTTACTGGAGTTAATAATCACTTCCAAACTTAGTGTAAACTGCATCTACTGTTTAATGACTAACAGTGTGCTCTAGATACCGAAAAAATGAATTGCATAAAGTACATTTCAATCCACCATACACACTGATTTACTCAAGTTTATTATAGCTTTTACATACTATCCATCACCATATGTCATTTAACGCCTAACACTTGATGAAAAAGGTAAATTAGGTTGTTCAAGTAACGAACTTCGGGCAAATACTCTGATATTTATAACTATTGTGTCGAATAAGTTCACGTCTCTTAGCTATGATCTAGACTGATGAGTTTGTTTACAAAGATTTCTCAGTCTAATCTACTAGTCACCATCATTCACTGGACAAAAACAGTATTGAATATTAATGATTGGCAGTGGCTAGCAGTGGAACCACTCACTGGGAGGCAGGTACATCCAGCTGACGAGTCCAAAATAGGACGAAATGCGCATCCTGAATTCCACTGCTATCCACTTCCCATCATTACTATACATAATTAAAACACAGGCAATATCGAGGCATCCGCACAGGAGCCCATATGCCAACAGAGACTGATCAGTTCGGTCCAATCAGTGACGGTGTCATACAAGCCATAACACTAAAAGTGTTGAATATTGTTTGAAATCAAAAGTCTTCCAAATCCTGTATTATAAATCGTTTCTGTTCCGACTACTTTTTAAGGGAGTTAATTAAAATTATCTATTGGGGAATGCTTTAAATTTCTGGAAAAAGTATTTTTATACATGGAATTGGATTGGGTTTTGGGAATTTTTTCCCCTCATGATGTACCTGTTTAGATTTACGTTTTGTTGCCTATTGTAGACGTTGTAATACAAATGAAAGTTGAACTTAGTAGTAAAATATATGGTTTGTGATATACACTGGCTTCATATATCAACAGCAATAGCAGTTGTATATATGCAAGAGGAACGACCAGATAGCTGCATTACTATTGTTGTAGGTTATTGTGAATCCTTAGAGCGAGCATGTGTAAAATTTTCTGTTAGCCTGTATACGTTTACAGTCAAAATGTATTGAGGATTTTTAATTCGTACACATTAAGGTTTCAATGGATTTGTAATTCATTGGTTCAAGTATTTGACTTTTGAGTAATCACTTGATTGGTTCCAATCACAGTAAATCATTTTGAAATCAGTGTAAAATTTGATTTATCTTTCAATAATCTATCACGAAGACTGATATTATCGCTTCTAATAACCTCATTATTTGTTTTTAAATATCTTATTCCAGCTTCCTCACATCAGAGGCGAATATCTCAGCACAAAAATGTAATGGCTGGTAGACGTCCAAGAACCAGATCGATACCTCGTCATCCTCCAGTTAACATGAATTATTCTTCCTGTCGTGATTTTAATCATCAGAAGAGATATTCCCGTGGACATTCATTAGACTATGCACACTCACATCCTAAGCGAACGTTTGCACGAAGTTCTGCAACTAGTTTGTTAAATGATTTAGACTATCATGATAATGATCCATCCTCAGAGACTGCAGCAATTATCCACTTAACCGATGAGCTACTTGGGTTACGTCAGGGTTTGAAGCTAACGCGTGAAGCCAATTCTGAAAGAGTAAGTAATTTCTTTCCTTATCGGTAATTATTTCCCTATTTAATCATGAAAATAGATTACTCTGAGTGCAAAGTACAACTTAATTCCATGCTATTTCTGCTTGCTACATACTGACAAAGTATTAGAACTTAGTTTTGGATACCAATTCTCACTTTTATCGCAAAGTGAAAATAGGTCAGTAAATATGCTCTAAGTGTTCCTTGAGAGTTGTTATACTTACTACAATAATCGTCTATTGTTATAGTTTCGATAAGCTTCATCTCGGGTTTCGTCGATATACTTAGTTCTGTTTTTACTTTGTAAAAAGGAAATGATTCATGTGCAGAAAAAATGATTTTCTAATTTTTCATATAAAACTTCGGGGTGAGTTTGTGTTGAACACTTTATTCGGGCATCTGTTTGACAGTGGGCAACATTATCTTTCTGAACCAAAATATACTCTTCAACTTCTATCTTCTGTTGTTCAACCGCGTATTTCGCTAGTGTCTTACGTTAGCTATTACTGTCTTTTTACTTTATTTAACGGAATAAATGGTTAAGGCTATGCATAAGGAACATTTCATCGTTTCAGTAAACAATTTGTACAGCACGTAATAATACAGGTTCTTTCCTTTTAAACCGATAAGATGGAACTTACTTATATAAGAAGAATAGTTTCTTTTAAAACTTCTTATTCAAACCAAGTGTCCAATCAAAAGCTTTTGTCTTCAATAGTAACAGTTAGTAAACTAAGTGTTATGTCAATTTTTCTATCCTTAGTGAACCATTATGTTATGACTCGTAGTCAGATAGTTTGCAAGGAAAGCAATTAGTTGGCATTGTAACAAGCATAGAAAAAATATTCTAAAGAGAAGGGTTTCACACTCTCTAAGAACAGAGTTCTTTGCAGTATTGTTAGGAGTGGCCCTCGCCAGTCATTCTGAAGGATTAAGGCCTTACTTCTGACCACCACTATGTGAATATTCAGGAAGATCATTTCAGTTCTATATCAGAGTAGACGTTGTATGTAAACAATGCATTCAAAGGAGATTCAGCTATTGGTATTAGTTTGTTAGTTACTTCTCTTTTCTATAAGAGATGAATATGATAACCCACTTCTCAGTTTGGCTGCAACAGCTTGTAACCTGACCTGGCAGTGTGCTGTATTCTACATCAACAAAGCAAATTGAAAAAATTGAAAAAAGAAATGCACTGAAATATATTGAGAAAGAGGGAGAGAGAAAACCTTTTCGGGTTTATTTTTTCACAGTAATATAAAAAGTAAAGTCATATTTGTTCTTTAACCAACAATATTCGCTGATTCGCAAACTTTAACTGAAAATGTGATATTCTTTACGCGACTCAACACAACAATATATCACTTTGAAGATTGTTGTTACTCACTGTTCTAAGCACTATGTGAGGACTTTTTCGTGGTAATCTAGGGCTTATCAAGGTGACAAGGGAATATCTATTCCAAAGTAACTAAGTCGACTTTGAATCATTAACCAAGAAGATGAGAACCTCAATTACTGAGGTGCGGCTTCATTACATTTTAGTCAGTATAAGTTTAATACTAGGCAGTTCATTGGCTTTCTGATGGCTACAAATTTTGATTTGTAAGAAAAACAAGCTTATTTTTTCATTTCTCTAATTGTTTCGATTTTTTGAAACTGTGAAATCACACCTAGTTTTCATGTATTAGTTGTTTTGCCATTTCATTTCTATTTAGCTTGAAGTTGCTTTGAGGCATATTTCACTACTTGAACTGGAACTACAACGCCAACGCTGTTTAAATCATGATGCTGAAGTTGCTAGACAACGAGAAGTTGAACGTTCTCAATGGGAAAAGGTAATTTATTGGAAACCGTGTGATTTATAAACTGCTCACTTGAATTACTCACACTGATACTTTAATTCGAAATATGTTTCAGTTTGATTAATTATTTAGTTTCCGTTGAGCTTTAATTTTTTACATTGGATTTTTTTCCGCCGTATTTTGGCATGTTTGGAGGCAAGTCAAAAGCAAGACCTACTCAGCAAGCTTGCGCTGATTTTTACAGTAGGAAATGTGATATTCCGGTTTCATGAGGGTTAATGACAATACCTAGCTACCCAAACCTCAGTCGATGGACCTTGTTGTGAACCTGTGACCCATTGATTTTGAGTCGAGTTCCAAGACCAATGAGCCATAGCTCCATGGAAACTGTGTGATATGATTGAAAACGTTTCTCATGTTAGTGAACTATACACATAGTTGCTCTTATCAAGTGTTTATTTGGTGATTCTTGTGGATCCATTTGTTGAGTCATCATAGATTTTCGTGACTGCATAACAACTATCTTCACTTATTCGCTTATCTGACTTCAATTTGTATGTATCTGTGTGTGCACCCGTTTCGAGATACAAACATCTTGATATCCTGAAACTGTCTTATTCACCTTAATATGTTAACAGAAATTTGTGACGGGTTTTTCTATTTCAATTTAGCTTATTGTATCGCCTTTTATCTTGATTCATTGACGTTAGACACTGAACATAAACAGCTGTGCTGCTTTAGACAATACTGAAGTTACTAATAAACCATTTAGAACTCTATAGCACAACTGATTCACTTAATCGATCACAGGACCTTCAGGTCCGTTGGGCAGCAGGTTACCATTGACCCACTGAGTTGGGGTCCAACGGTCCATATTTCCAACTTCTGTCAGTTCACAACATAGCGCAACCATCACCCAATGTCACTGTTGAGTATTTGTTCTCACGCCAATCAGGTTTACTCCACAAATCCCCAAAGTGTACTAATCCAGTGGTCATTGGTGACTAGGTTCGAGAGGTGATTCCTGAAGTTCCAGTGAGTTGTGACCGGTGAGGCAAACCTGGTGGATGTGAAGACAAGTACTCAACGATGGTATTGGATGAAGGTCGCGCTATGTCATGAACCGACAGACGTAGGAAATATGGACTGTTGGATCCCGACCTAGTGACTCAATAGTAACCTGCTGGTCGCGGAACCTAAAGGCCTTGTGTTCGACCCGTGGTTTAGGGGGGCTCATGGTTGCGCACTGCTGAGAAGTCCCATATAAGGAAGAAACATTTTTCCAGTGCTCCCATGTTTCGGATGTTTCTCTAACTGATATCAGTCCATCATGATGAATACCAGCATAATTTGTTGTTGGATAGATTCCTTTTCATGTCATAATCCATTCATATTTTCTCATACACTTTTTTGCCTTAAATAGTGCTCATTAATGAGGTGCACATTGTGATTATGCATTCATCACTATTCATAATATTGTATTTAAATTTATTTCATATTAAAATTCAAATGTTTCTTGATAATTTTTAGTTCAATCTAGTCGTGTGGCTGGAAACTTAGGGTATGAACGACAGGAAACTAATTAGAATATAAGCACTTTAGGGAGTTTTCCCCTTACATCTGTTGTCGCTGTTTCGTATTTTTTTCATCTTTCACGACAATATAGCAGATTTCATGCATAATTTCTATTTTCTCTAATCTCAGAGCAGGTTCCAAAGTGTTATATATATATATATATATATATATATATATATATATATATATATATATATCGATTTGTATTTTGTCTCTTACCTCATTCCTCTTCATAGTATATTACTCTAAGAAGAGTTATAACTTTTATTTTATCCTACTTCCTGTTCCACTTATTTTTCATTTTAGCGTCTAGCTGCGACACTTGGAGAGCTAAGGCACTGTCAGACAAACATTGGCAAACTTCGGGAACAAGTTGATCAGTTGGAAGCGTCAAAAAGCTTTCTGATCAATCTGAACTGAAACTAGGTAGTCACATATATGTATATATATCTTAGGATTATGGTCTTTAAGTTGTTTTTTATTTCGATATTTTTTTCCGCTCACTTCATTTATCTTTTCAGAACGCCAACAGTTAGAACTAGATCAAACAAAAGCAACTTTGGATGCTCAAAAAGAAGAGATAAACACCTTGAACACCCTACTCAATTCACTATTAGGTCTACATCCAAGTAAGATATTTTGATTTTATGACTGTAAAATATACAAATGATATATAACAGTTTCTTATGGTTGTTGTTCAGTTTAATATAAATTGTGCAAATGTCTGGATTCAAATACTTCATATCATTCATCTTGGATGCAATGTAAAGGTCTGTAGCATGATGACTAAGTATTACTCTTTGTTGCTGACAATCTGTACTTCGATTTTACCTCATGTATGCGCCCGTGAGTCTACAGGCTTACAGCATCTATAATTTATCGATAAAATTGTCGTTACTTCCAGGGAAATTTAGAATAGTCGAAACACAATGTGTATTTTAGCCGCATTCCTATTGTGATTTAATAACCTATGAGAGAGAAGGAGTTCTACTTCAGTTTTTGTCTCAGCTACAGGTTCTAGGTCGGACCCTCGTCTAAAATGGACATAATTATCCATAAACTGGAGGGTCAGCCCACTCACTGATGCACTTCTGTTCGAGGTTCTACGTTGATCTGTCTATAGACATAGAAATCAGCAACAGGTGGTGAAGATTACACGAGGAATCATGAGTATGACCATCAGGTCTCATAAATGAATGGAAGATTGATCTTAGCAAGACCTGTCAGTCCTGAGATCGATCACTCATAAGGTCATGAGTACATGTTGCTGAAGAATCCTTTTGGGGATGAGATAGTTGTTCACTGCTCGAAGAATTCTATTGGTTCTCTAGCTGATTTCAGTTCCTGATGAATACTATGTTGAAATCAATCGATTCTCACAAATCACCAATGTAATCATTCTGTTTTTTTGTATGAAGTCTATGTGGACATGTAATAGTTAAGACATAATTCAGCCAATCATTTGATCCTTACTTTTGGTACAAAACTGTCTGGCTGCTATTTTTGACTGTGCATAGATGTGTTTTTATCTACTTTGAGGTGCAATAATCTGTCAGGAAATACCTATGTGTTTCTTAAGACTTTTCCTAGAGCATATTTCCGACTTCATATCTTATTTTTAATGTTTTTGATAAGTCACTGTGACTTAGATACAGTGTCACGTACCGAGTTTATTGGAACCTTTGACTATTTTTTGTTTCGAAACTATGATTTTAGACATAAGTTTCCTGTTACTTTGGAGACATTTTTTCTGTATCCTACATTGGTGAATAACTACTTCGGGAATAGGCAGAATTTATAAGATGATGCATGATACCTTTTGTTTAAAGGTTAAAAACATAACTTTATCATTTGACTATCTGAGGTAGTTTGCCATACCAGTGTTTATACTGGGTGATGATTGAAGGTAAGGTGAGAATTTGGACCGTGGTCGGATTCGAACCAGTGACCACCGGGTCTCCGGCCTTGTGCTCCAGTCGCTGGTTCGAATCCGGCCGCGGTTCAAATTTTCATCTCACCTTTAATCACTACTCAGTATAGACATAGTTTTGTGTATTGCGTGAAGTTGATTATTGTGCTTAGGCGATATATAGGTAGCAACTTTCTCATTTTGATATATAGTAATCTCGGTGGGTTAATAATGATACTTAAGTTGTTTTCCCTGTAATTAAAGTACAGTTGCTGTGAACTTAATAATTGATAAAGGTGTTAGTTTAATTTATAACTTCCCAATCTCAAGGAGGTGTAAAGAAAATTATTTTTATTCGAATATATATATTTTTGGGAAAACTACCAATAATTACGTAAGTTAGCATACTGAACCTACCAGTAAACAGAGAGGATAGTGCCCGTTTTAGGATGCCTTTGTTACATTTACATAAATACTGCCTAATACATAATTCGTAAGTCTAACTGGTGATAAATCGCCTTGAAGTAGTTGACACAAGCGACAGAGTATCTATTTACTGTTCAGAAATACCTTGCTTTGATTTTCTAAACCTGGTGGGGTCATAATAGAACATACTTTTATAATATCTATTTGTCTAATTGTTGAATAGATAGGGTGACATCCTGACGAATCATGCGGGGATATTGCGTTTGTCAAATTTTATTCGATCATTTATAACTCACGTTTATACTTGTGACTCCTTCACTTATCAACACGGAATATTTTGCTTCGACTGAAAATAAGGGCTGCTTAAAATCAACTAGGTAGTTTGTTAATTATTCCCCATTACTTTTTTTCTGTGGACAAATTAGTCTTCCTATCATTGTTCCATATTTGATTACGTGTAGATGATGTATCCCCAACTGATCTTCAGCGATTACAAGTTGGTTTGCTTGATTTGCACAAGCGTATGCAACCGGATTCGTTCAATCAGCATCAGTATCATCATCACCAACAACAAATTCCAAATCATTTTCCTCTTCATCAAACTCGTAAGTGTTGTTTTCGTTCCTTAAGCAAGTTTTAATAATTGCTTCAATTACCCATTTGTTTTACTTATCGTTGGCAATGTAAATTTGTCTTTATTTCAGCTCCCTTATTAATTATTATTTTTGAATACTTTCATGGTTCTTTGTAGGAAATTTTTTTAAGCTACGGGGAACCCCTTAGGTTAGTAGTGGAGTGGAAAATGGATTACTGTAGTTTGTGTTTATAGCCATTGAAATTTTTAACTGAGTAACCTTGAAATATACTCTCTGATTATTTCTATCCTTTCAAATAACTGAGATGTATGTTACGCATACTTATTCACCACCTACCTCGTTGTGCCATGTTAGCTGGAGTAGGTTCAGGCTGGAAAATGATTAAAGAAGGTCATACTGAAACACGATATAAGTTCATGAAGTTTCCGACTATTAGTTCAAGCTGTGTGGGCCAATTTAGACTTTACGGTCGCAGTCTGCCTGACATCCGAAGTCGGTGATTGGAGACTATGCGATATTGTTCAGAATCGACTTCAGTGGCTCAGAATGTATCCAGATATTACCTTCATCCTTCTCAGTATACTGAATCTCATCATTATCTCCTTCCTCCTTTCTCTCCTTTGATGCAGCTGAAATTGTAGGCCTCAAAATATTAGACGACACAACGTCGTATATACTACAATGTAAATAACTTTTCTACACTCTTTAGACAGGAATCCTTTCTTAATTTGGTTCGATATTTGAAGAGGAGTTAGTTACCTCTTAGCGGCAATAGCATAATCAAAAAGGAAGTTTGACTATAATTATAAGTGTAAAACTCCGGCACTGTGATAGGATGTAATTCTAAATTAGATTTGTTTATTTGATTTATAACACAGTGATACAGTATTATTTACTTGATGACGTTTCCAGCACCAAGTATTACCCCGCATAGTCATATCAATGTAACCACACTACTTTCGCCATCCGATTTTTATAGTCCTGTCACCTTATATTCTTTGCTTTTATTGGTATTACGACTTTCCATATCTCTGGTATAGATGTTGGATCATCCCTATCACATGTGTTGGGTGGGTGTTGACTCGATGAATAGAGTTTCAGTAATCAATCTCTCTCTCTCTCTCCACCTAATTGTATTGGATTTAAGTATAGTGGTTTTATCCCAACCTATGGATAGTTGGGAAAACAGGGCCTTACAAATGTTTAGTCCTGCACCCAAGGTATGGTGGCGATCTGTGGATGGCATTTACTCTGTTGAAAATATACACCTAGTAGTAGGCGCAATCCCATTCACTTACGAGGTAGAAAATGAACAGGGAGAATTACCTTAGTTGAAGTGCAGGATAAAACGAAAAAGAGACAGTGGTTTGAATACTATCATTTACAGGAAATGGACACATTCTAACAGGTATCTGAACTTCAAGTCATTTCATTCAAAGTCATTTAAGACAGGTTTATTCAAATATCTGAATGACAGAGCTACAAAACTGACTAGTCAGTGCAAGGACCTAAACAAGGAACGAAAGCACATAAAATAACCGCTAATAGTTAATAATTATCCCCTACAGTTTATTGCGAAGTTCATACGAACACACAAGAAACGAAATAATGACAGTAATATGAGTACGAATAATAATGACAAAACGAGTAGATAAGAGTTCACAATCTCCATTGTTACCCTATAACGAGGGGACATCAGAAACTTTACGTAGCACCCTCAACAATTTTGAGATTATGGTGACATTGAAGCCTACAAACTCACTCAGAGATAAGCTTTGTCGGCTGACTTAAGGATCCGACAGAACAAATTAGGCGAAATTCCATGTTATGACTGCGAGGTCAAGAAAACAGGTCAAACTATCACTTTGACGTCAGTTAGATTAGGGGTTCATAAAACCACTATACTTAAATCCAATACAATTAGGTGGAGAGAGAGAGAGAGATTGATTACTGAAACTCTATTCATCGAGTCAACACCCACCCAACACATGTGATAGGGATGATCCAACATCTATACCAGAGATATGGAAAGTCGTAATACCAATAAAAGCAAAGAATATAAGGTGACAGGACTATAAAAATCGGATGGCGAAAGTAGTGTGGTTACATTGATATGACTATGCGGGGTAATACTTGGTGCTGGAAACGTCATCAAGTAAATAATACTGTATCACTGTGTTATAAATCAAATAAACAAATCTAATTTGGAAGTTTGATCAGTAAGCATGAATAAATCAAACCTTCTTGTACAAAGTATATTGGACAAAATGGTTGCTTTCGTTTTATGAAAAGCAGTTATTCTATTTATTATCCAATGATAGTTTGCCATTGTTATGCATGACTTAACATTGTCCCGGTAGAAATATAGTTCCGAATAATTCTCTTCTTACAAATTTTTCTCATTGTTTTTGACTAGTATACAAAATGCGAAATGTCAGCGAACTTGATAGACTAATTCAAATATACTGTTGTTTATTTGTATAAGAAGTTCTTTTGTTGGTATTTCATGTATAAGAAATGTTATCTTAACTTGTTCCGCGTTAAACTATTGAACAAAGAGAATTAATTTCGGTTTCTTATACTCGTTTATAGCACACTACACTTTATCATTAAAAGGTTCATAGTATGCATTCTTCTTTGATAGAAAGCATTATGTTAGGTTTGAACATATGGTTATCAAGGTGGCATTGTTATTGTTTAACTGCAACACTCTTGGATTGTTTTGTGGCATTAAAGTCATTCAAGTAAAGGAAAGTTGTTATAGTCGATGTATTAGTGTTTACTGCAGCTAATCTACCCCCATTAAAAGGTGTGCCTAAAAGCTAGATTCATTCTGTGTGGCCACAATTTTCCTAATACAATGATTATATGTGAATGAATAATAGCTTCATTGATGAAAATGCCTCTCTGATTGAATTACTAGTTTAATATATCAAGACAAATGTGATACATGGTTGACAATGTGGAATGCGTTATACAAAATGAGATGGCAATATTATGAAGAAACGAGAAAAAAAAAAGAAACGGGTGACAGATTGATTAGAAAGTGAAACACAATGGATATGACATACATTAATGATAGTTAGTGGCTAGCACTGGAACACTCGTTTCGTCTCGTTTGGGACTCGTCATCTGGATGTTTTAACTTGCCTCCCAGTGAGTCATATTTTTCCCACTAAGACTGGAAGCCAGGACCGATCACTTCAAACTCCACAGTGTTATCCACTAGGCCACCGAGTTACAGTGGCCACTTCTTGTGTGATGGGCATAGTTTTAATGTCGAGACTTGTATTATCCCGTCGTTGATGAGACCGACCACGTAGGAACTAATAGAGATCGATCGATTCGATCCAATCAACGACGGGATAATACAAGTTTCAACATCAATATGGGATACGTTTGCCAAGCTTTCCTTAGTTCTGCATAACTGTTTGAAAATTAATTATACGGGCCTTGAGTCCAGGCTATTTAACTCAAAAACAATACAACTCACTAAATTTAGGCTGGTCTGTGTATTAAGCTGTGCCCACAACTTATATGTTGAGATTAGAGTTTGTAAAACAATCAAACATCTTTAATAACGTATCAAACTATTGAGGTACATGATCTGTGGGAGTTGATTCAAGGAGGCATCGGTTTACTGAGAAGTGCTAAACCACAGTGGATAATTTTCAATCGATCTGGTACGAAGTAACCCGATAGCATTTCCGTACCACCGTGATAGATAACGAGCTATACATTGTCCTCGAAATGCCATCCAATAAACAATATTTTGTTACTGCATAATATATCAGACAAGCCAATTTAACATCTGACTACACTTTACCACAGTAATTGGTAATTCAGTGTAACTATTCTTCATCTGATGGTGTTGAATCACATATTGACGACCTCTAAGCTTCTCACAGTGAATCGAACGTCGGGGAATAGTAATTTCTGTCAGTCATTTTGATTACCCATCTAAAACATTTTTGAATACCTTGTTTATTGGTTAATTATCTCTGTACTGGGTGATAGTTAAAGGTGAGATGAAAATTCGGGATGCAGCCGGACTCGAACCAGTGACCACCGCGTGGTCGCTAGACACTATTCACCGATGGCCGCTGGTTCGAATTTGGCCGTTGTGCAGATTTTCACCTCACATTCAATCATAGCCCGGCATAAATACTAGCCTGGCAAACTACGGCCACCTCAGATAGTCAAATGATAATTATCTCTATCCTTATGATATTGATATTGAGAACCTCACCTGGTTAACTAGTTCACTAGTTACTAGCCCGTCCAAAGCCCGGATAAAGAGGGAAGGCTGGGCGTAGGGCTAGCAACCCTACCCCGTAAAAAATCCAACCGCTAAAAAGAAACTTCAAAGCGTCGAAAGGTAAATATAAGAAACAAAATTAAACCTACTCCTCTCTGGAATCGGAGAGGCGAAATGACGCCGGTTGGTGAAAGCCCTCGGGAAGCCAATTGGCCGATGTATCTTCTCTCGATGAAAGCAAAAGTAAACATGGGGACATGGAATGTTCGGACAATGTTTGAAGCCGGCTGGAAAGGCTGCTCAGATTGCCAAAGAGATGAAAAGGTATATCATTGAAGTGCTAGGCTGGGAATCTGCGAGCAATCTGTAGATGGAATGGAAGTGGACTCTCCAAACTGTCAACTGCAGAGTCAATAATCTACTCCGATATTATCACCCAGACGACAACCACGAGCACACTGAGTTTTGGAGTGGCTATCATGGTGTCCTCTTGAAGGGCATGGAAGGCTCGCTTTCATGCAGTCGGAATCAATGTACTCCACGATCAGGATCATGACAGCAAGGTTCAACTAGAGAGGAAGGAAAGTCACAATCACACAATGCTACGCTAAGCACCTACAAATAATTAAGCAGATGAAGAGAAGAAGGAGGAATTCTACAGACAACTGCAATCACTACTGGAAAAGACTCCACTCCAGTTGGCGACGTCAAAGTTCTAATAGCTGGGGTGACATGAATGCCAAACTAGGAG